GGATGCACTGTGGTCCCTGAACCCAGAATCTGAGTAGAATGAGTGAGACTCCCTGTCCTTCTATAGGATGTTAATCTTGTTGTGCAGAACTGGTTCTGACCCACCTTTGTGATCTGATTCTGGCTCTGTACTCTGTGGCCGTGTCTGTTAGTAAATAAGAAGTGGTTTCAGGCTCAGATATTTGACACACTTGTGTTGGAACATACAGGAAGTGGTAATAATTTCACAGAAACCTAACCTGGTTCTGGCGTCACTGGGTTTTATCAGTGRAACTGGTACATTGGGCTGTGAGAAACACTTCATGTTCTTAGACAAGCTGGACTGAAATCCCTGCTAAAAGCTCCTGACTTGAGATTTTGAAGATTTTCCCAGCTGCTTGTTGATTGTCAGCAGCTGGATCAGAGATGTGTCAGTTGTTCAGTTCATTTGTTTCCTGAACAGTTTTCAGGTCTCTACACAAGTTCTTCCATGGACTCGTGGTCTCATCTGATGTTCCCATGCTAAAATTTAACAGCATTAAGATAAGATTTCACAAACTCCCAGCCAGAGGCAGCTGAGGAGCATGCTGTGAACCTTCTGCAGGTCGTTCAGAGGACTTCACTAGAGTCTCTTCAAACCCTCCTTGGAGTGTCTCTGTACCTGCAGGTCAGGTGGGTCCTGACAGCTGATAGTTTACAGTGGTCAGTGGGTGGACTTGTTCAGATTAAATCTGGGCCCACTGGCTCAGGGATCTGGGTATGAAATGGTAGCACCTGTGTACCTGGAGATATGCCAGCAGTGTGTCACAAACACACAAGCTCAAATAAAAAAGTTTTCACAAACAAAGTCAGAGCCAAAGCAAACAGAACAGGAATTTCAGAAACAGACAAGTGTGAACACGAAACGTTTCAACTGAAGCCTTGAACCTTCGTGTCTGTGTTGGAGAGGAAACCTTTGTTTCATTTGCAGCAGAGCTGAAACAGGAAAATAGATTTTTATTCACATCTTTGTGTTRATCAAGCCCCATGGAGACCCCCAAAGCTCTTTACACTACAGTCAATCACCCACTGATGGTGCTAAGCTACACTGTAGCCACAGCTGCCCTGATTGAGGAGGACAGAATGAAGACAAACATTGAGATGTTTGGATCAGGATCACTGAGTCGGCTGTAAACCCAAAGCTTCTGATCTCAGCTGATGATTGGTCTGTTCTGTGGTGTTTGGACATGATTCAGTGTTAAAGAGTCAGTAAAACTGGACATTTTCTCTAACAGGATCTTCATTTCTGACTTGGATTTTAGCTTTGGGCTTATTTTGGATAAAGAATGAAAAAATGACTTGAATTTTTGATGCAGCAGCAGGAGACTTTATTTCATCACGTTTCTGCCGTCAGACAGGAAGTGGCCAGACAGGAAGTGGTCAGACAGGAAGTGGTCAGACAGGAAGTGGTCACACAGGAAGTCCCTTCATGTCAAACCAGTCTCCTGAAGCCCCTAAAAACAGCTCAGGTAGAAAACATCATGCTAACCTTTAAGCTCACAATTAATAAAAAAGTTTCAGCTGAATTCAAAACTTGTTCAAACTCTGACAAACAACAAAAACACATTAATCTTTTATTGAAAAGTCCCGACTCTGTGAACATCAGAGGTAACTCAGGTCTCCTCTGCTGCCCCCTGCTGGACCCAGAGTGTTGTCCCCCCCAGGGTTTATCCTGTTGAGTCACAAGTTTTTTTCTTTTTCAGTTCCCACAGCTCTTTAGGATCAACAGAAATATAAAAACATTATTTTTAATAATAAACAGTTCAAAACATAAAAATTTGTTTTGTTTAAATGAAACTTGATCTGGTTCCTCTGAAACAATGTTGTCAAATGAAGATGGAGGTTCTAAGGAGGTATACATAAATGTATTGCTATAGAATTATTTAAAACGAGTAAAAAATTAGGCAGCAAATGTATATTTTGACTTTTATGAAGAATAGAAAACTTCCAGATAGTTTCTGTTCTGGTTTCTGTTCTCTGGACGTCACAGAACCAAATTATCTGTAAAACACCAAACTGATCATCTGTTGGTAAATCTTTAAGTCTTGTGTTCATCACAGTTTGTTTTAAACGTCTGTTATGGGTTTTAGTTTTGGTGTGCCACCTCTGGTTTTTCAGTGCTCCTCATGGTCCCCCCTGAAGGTGTCACATGGCACCACCTTTCTGCAGGTGCCATGGGACAGATCCTCATGTCAGCAGGAACAAAGTTCTGTTTAGATTTGTAGGGTCAAGATGATCAGAGTTTTAGTGTTTATCTGAACAGAACCACCTGATGCCTCTTCTCTCTGCAGGTACCTGAAGATTGTCTATCCTGTGGGAAACCATGCTCTGCAGACGCCTCAAACCGCCTACATAGTGTCCACCGTCACCTGGGGCCTCCTCCTGGTTATGACCAGCACCTACATGATTCTGTCCCTCCTCACCCAGGACACCCGGGACGATCTCCCTGGTATGGTGAGTTGTGACGTCCTGCACAGTAAGAAGCTCCACCTGTTCTACAAAGTCATCCACTCCTGCTCGCTGGTCATCTTCCTGCTGGTCCTCATGTCCCTGATCTTCTTCTACTCCACCACCTCGCGCAGGCTGCTGCTGGCGCAGAGGAATCAGCCGGCATCCTCCAACTCCAAGAAGCTGACAAAGTCCCGCAGGAACATGCTGGTTCTGGTCAGCGTCTTCTGCATTTGCTTCGTCCCGTACCACCTGGTCCGCCTTCCCTACGCCTTCATCAAAACCTTGTTGTGCTCATCCAGATGGTGGTTCTTTTACCTGAAGGAGCTGACCATCGTGATGTCGGTCCTAAATGTCTGCCTGGACCCCCTCATCTACTTCATCTTCTGTAAGGCATTCCGGGCCCAGATAAGCCTGGGGAGGTTTTTTAGCACCACGCAAGTCCCATCGCAGGTGACAACTGAACAGAGGAGGGGCAGCAARGAGCGGAGGACCTCCATAAAGAACCTCAGGAAGCTGTCGCTCACCCCCAACAGCAACCAGACCACCGTGTTGTAGAGTTCCCCCAAACTATTTAAACTGGTTCACAGGCCAGAAATAAGCCAGAACTCAAAGTAGACTGAACAGTTCGAAGTACAAAGACCAGGCTGGTCTTATACCTCATTACCCACAAACCTTCATGGTGCAATAAAGACTTCAAGTTTGTTTTTCTTCATACATCTCATTTGATTCTGACTGAAACACAGTGCTGAGCTCACCCAAAACAAKAAGATAAGTGTAGACCGACCCGTTTGGATCTGGTGTCGGTCTACACTGACAGCACCTTTTCTTCTAGCCTAGTGGTCAGGACTGATTGATGGCTTCAGGTGAACTGAAGTTTTAAATCAGCTTTTTGTTTTGTTTTGACAAAGTGGAGGTTGTTGCTCTGAAAGACTCACTTCCTGTAAAAATTGAAGCTTAAGTGCAATAGAAAATGTTTTTATGTAKTATATGTAATAATTTCAGTTTCAGGTTGATAAACTGAAGCTACTGATGTTTATGGTGGAAAATATTTTGAGGAGAGTTTTTTCTGTTTATAACAGAAGAAGAAGAAACACTTCCTCTTCATCAGATAACATCTGTAAGCAGGAAGTTTTATGAAGTTGAACCAAATCAGTTACAGATAAATGTTGTTCTTTATAATAATAATAATAATAATAATAATAATAATAATAATAATAATAATAATAATAATAATAATAATAATAATAATAATAGTTTTTCTTTGATCTGCCTGAGACGATACAGTAATAAAATCCATTCATCCAGTTTGTTCTGTTTGTTCTGGAGTCAGGTCAAAGGGGAGGAGCTTGAGCAGGCAGGTCCACACACCTCCTTCCACAGCCGCCTCCTCAGGGAGGACTCTGAGGCCACCTGTCTTCCCTGGGGTCTCCTCCCAGCTGGACATGTCCCGAACACCGTCCTGGGTGACAGACACCTGTCCAGGTGAAGCACCTGTTGGTCTCACACTCCTCTGCAGATCCAGACAGGACATCCATCTTTTCTCACTGAGGACCACCGTCTCATGTTTGMGGGTGCTGACCCTCATCCTGGCAGGGACCCACTCCTGTGAGAGCTGAAGATCCCGGCAGGCCAACAGGACCACATCATCTGCAAATAGCAGAACCAGACCAGACTCTTCTGCCCCCTGGCTGCAATGAGAAGTTCTGTCTGTAAAAGTTCTGAACAGAACCGAGACAACAAGCAGACCTGGAGAAGTCCAAATCCCCCCTGAAGAGGTCGGACTTACTTAAGGACTGAACGACTCATGAGTCTCTGAATCAACTGGGTCTGAATCCTGAGAATCCAGCTGAACCTGAGCTGAACCCTGTTTGGACCCAGTGAACCACATGAATCCATCTAGACCAGTGGTTCTCAAACTTTTCAGCTTTTGACCCACAAAATACCAGTACAGAGACCTGAGACCACAACTGTTTCTGGATGATAAACATTTGTATCAGGTCAACATAGTTACAATATTTTTATACAACATTTATCCATTTTAAACACACTAACCTCACTCCTTTGTATCAACTGAGGACAAAATGTCATTAATTCAGAAAATCTTTTCAGGACCCCACCTTGATGTTTCAGGACCCTACTTTGGGTCCTGACCGCAACTTTGGGAAACACTGAWCTAGACCACAATGCATTGCAGAATGCTGACTTCCAGCCTCAGTTCCTGTAAACAGGTCAGTGTGTCAGGGGGCGGGGCTTGTGCTCTGAGTGACAGCAGCAGCCTGCTGCATCAGACAGCAAAACATCTGCAGCTCTGAGCAGCACATGATCCACAGCCAGACGTTTGAACCGTACCCCGAAGAGCTGAGAACTGGGAGGCTGGGCCAGGACCCCAGGGTCCAACACTGGTCTACATCCAAACAGAGCCCAGGATCCAACACTGGTCTACATCCAAACAGAGTCCAGGATCCAACACTGGTCTACATCCAAACAGAGTCCAGGATCCAACACTGGTCTACATC